ACATTACCACTCATCATCACTGAGGGGGCCACATCTGACTTAGTTGTTGCCACTTTCCTGACAGGTTTAACAGAGACATTGAGTTCATGATTGGACACAAGCCCAACATCTTCTGGCAGGCGACGTGGCGGCTCATAAGTCCCCTCATCGTGCTGGTCATTTTCGTGTTCTACCTCATCACCAAGCTCAGTGTGGAGTTCACCTACATCGTCTGGGATCCAGCCTCAGTATGTATGACACTTAGGAAAATACAAGCGGTCCCCCGGCTTACGATACTTATGGAAACGCGTACTTACAAACGGATTGCTATAAAGTTTATTTTATTCAAAATTTGGGTTAAATACTATGATTGGTATCACGTATATATGAATTTATTATTATTATTAAGGGCTGTATTATTATTTTCCTGACTTACCTACAAATTCGACTTAAAGACAACGTTAGGGAACGGATCTTGTTCGTAACCTGTGAACTGTCTGTAGTCAGATTGGGCGAGGCTACTATTCATATGGAATTAGTTAATAATCAGTAATATCGACTAAATACATTGCTGTATGCTTTTATTCACAGGAAAATTTCCCCACCATGCTAAAACGGACTTACCCTCACTGGGTCCACCTTATAATACTCATCTTGGCCGGCGTACCGAGCCTTACGGTACCATTTGTTGCAACCATTAAACTTCTGTGGAACTTCATGAAAAGGAAAGATGATGACCAGAAAGCTGATATCGTGACTCTCACAAAGTCAGAAAAAGACACTAAACACCAGAAAATGACCACCGATTCCATTCAACAGCAGTTTTAGAAAGTTTTATCGTCAATCAGCCAGAGTCCATACTTATAAACTGGACAGGTGCAATATCATTTATCAGTATCAATATCTAGGCAGTTAATTATTTGGAGCGTTAGTGGAATAAATATTTTAACTGTATTGACCCAGCAGGCATTTTGTGTTGTGAACATGTTGTTACAACGTTGTCTCGTCACATTGATTAACCGTTATCAGAGTGTTGGTTTTGAAAGATGAAATAACAATTATGAGTCATCTCTCTGCTGCAGAGACTGCTATGAGACTCTCTGAGCAGAGAGAGGACTCGTACAGCACAGTGATGACTCATAGCAGAGAGAGTACTCATATTGCAGAGAGAGTACTCATATGAGTACTATATGAGTCCTCTCTCTGCTATATGAGTCATCTCTCTGCTGCAGAGACTGCTATGAGACTCTCTGAGCAGAGAGAGGACTTGTACAGCAGAGAGAGGACTCATATAGCAGGACTTGTATATAGGACTTGTACAGCAGAGAGATGACTCATATAGCAGAGAGAGTACTCATATTGCAGAGAGAGTACTCATATGAGTACTATGTGAGTCCTCTCTCTGCTATATGAGTCATCTCTCTGCTGCAGAGACTGCTATGAGACTCTCTGAGCAGAGAGAGGACTCGTACAGCACAGTGATGACTCATAGCAGAGAGAGATGACTGATATAGCAGAGAGAGTACTCATATTGCAGAGAGTACTCATATGAGTACTATATGAGTCCTCTCTCTGCTATATGAGTCATCACTCTGCTGCAGAGAATGCTATGAGACTCTCTGAGCAGAGAGAGGACTCATATAGCAGGACTTGTATATAGGACTTGTACAGCAGAGAGAGTACTCATATTGCAGAGAGAGGACTCATATGTGTACTACTGACACAAGATGTAAAGTTATACAGTATCTACAGGTTTTCATAAATTGACAACATTTTGGCACAGAACATTCTAAGTGCTTAGACCATTATATTCACTTGCATTAATGTGGTAGTTGTTATGCATTTTGCAGTTTTATGATACATTAAAACATACACAAACATCAACTGAAGTGCAGTCAATATGTTTACATGACAAAGAAAAATTAAATTGGTGTTAGTCGGACTCCAACCGGTCTTTTAAAACACATGTAACATGTTAGTCCACCTGAAATCACACTAAATCACTCAATCGGTCTACCCAGATAATGTGGTTTGGAATGGATTTAGCTCTGCATGTATGTGTTCGATTGAACCCAAACTGAACTAGATACTGCACGTGCCACATTTTTTACCTGGAAGTGACAAACAGTAAACAAAGAAAATGTAAAGTTGCCCAATTGAAAGACAATTTGCTAGTTTGCCCTAACCAAGTTGTCACGTAAGGCAAGGGAGAGAAGCAGAGATCCAGGGTGCAGGGAATACAGAGCTTTAATGAGTCAGTTTGGGCAGGAATACAGGAAATGTCCAATACGGCGCAGAGAGGGATCACAGGTTCTTCTTCCCCGGTAACCGGAGAGAGAGAGAGCGATGGGCAGGGGCGATATCACCGAATCGGTAAGCTGGCAGGTAGGTACAGAAGCGGCGTGCAGTAATCGTGGTCGTTGTCCGTGAGCTGAGGTCGATACCAGGGGGATCCGTCCGACGGAGACACACAAGACCGGGGACACAAAAGGAGGGGCGAACAGGAGAGGCTGGACTCGGCAGGACAGGTGAGTCAGGTACGGAAGCTGGACTGAGGAGGGAAGGCAAAAAGGTAAGGTTCGCACACAGGGCTAACAGACAAGGCAAGGGGAAACAGGTTGACGGAAGACAGAAAGAATGCTTGGTAAGGCTTTGAAACATCAGCGCAATGCTTCGCAAGGAAGGTTTGGGTTGGCTTCTCTTTTAAAGGTGGCTAATCGTCCGCTGATGTGTTGCACCTGCCTGGCCCTGCCCCTGTGGGCGTGACCCAAGTTGTTTGTCAGTTGTTTTCTGTAACATTATAGGCCAAGTGGAAAAAAGCAGCTATAGCTGTACATCACCACCTATGGTAGTAAAGTCGACATACTTGAAACAATAAAAACAATTGCCCTCTTGTGGTTGTATACTGGGTGAAGTACAGTATTCCAATTAAATGGCCTAACTGAGGTATAACCGCAGCTCAGCTAAACTGTGCATGTAAATACTGACTGTGTATGTTTGACCTTGAAACATTTTATTGTTAATTTGTTGATCCATGAAAAAGTATAAGAGTTTCCTGGTGCTGAGCAATACAATGTCATAAATTAGAAAATGTCAGAGATCACACACACACCCTCACTCACATACAAATGAATAAATACCTTTTAGCACTGAACAGATCATAGTTGCTGTGAAACTGGCCTTTCCACCCTTTCCTTTAAAACTAAACTGGGCCATGACGGAATTGCTCAGCAATCTGAAAAGTAAACATTTTATTAGTAAATGCTTACTAAAAATTAATGCAATAATACATTTGTTAATCATTTAAAGACTGTTGGAGAAAGCAGGAAGTCCAAAGCAAAGAACGCTTTAAAAAAAAAATTAATTCCTTTGTAGGGGCTCCTACCTTTTAGACAGAATTTATTCTCCCTTACCTTTGCTCATGCGTGTAGGGTGTGGTGTTGACGCAAGCCCAAGCAGGGATGCAGGTTCTTTTTGGGTGTTTAGGCACGCTGAAATAAACACACTTCTTTTGGGCGCTCTGCTTGTGTTGACTGCCTTTTCCCCTTTTTCTGCTGCACTGCAGCTCCACACCTTCACCGAGAGGCCACACTAGCGGCTTATGGCAATACCAAAACATACGTCATATCCAGATCGCTTAAAAACGTTTTCTTTGCAAACTAACACTTTTAAAACAACGTCAACCTTACTGATACAAACGTTTTGTGAAATACTGTAGAATCAGTAGCAGCTAACGAGCTGACGCGATGGCGCCAAACTCACTACTTTCAACTAACTAAGAGAACGCGAACGATCTGCTTCACGTATAAAAAAAAATTAGCATTAACTTTTACGTTAGATGGTGGTCAACTGTTTGCAGAGTGCTACCTGAATGATTTTTTTAAACTTATATAAATAATATATTATATTGTAATATTTCGACGCGAGATCAACATAGTGGCAATGCTGTCCCTGCTTGCTCACAGCAGTTATTGAAATCTCAGCATTATAATTACCTTATTCAACGTAATTTCAACTGTTATTCAACGTTGTGACAATGTTAGGTGCCTGATGGAGATTTACTGTCAGATAAAATACTTTGCTGCCAAATGCATGTTACCAATATGTAGTTAAAAATTTCTTTATTATATTAAAAATCTTTTTCCCTATTCAGCCAGTCATGCTTGTTGCTTTAGCAAAATTGACAAATATTTATTACATCACGTATTTATTACATTAAACTAATTAAAAACGTTTTAATCAAAGCATCATAATATGACAATATATTATACATAGTTTTAGTTTCATAAATCGTAAAGAAAAATACAGAGCAAATTCCCTTCAGTTGTTAATTCCGCAAATAAATTTTATAATGTTTACATAAATTGATGTGGCATTTAGAGGCATTTCACAGATCTGTCCATTGGGTGTCGCAGTAAAATAATTCCTTGTTATACCCTCACCCGTTTGCTTGGATCCAAGAGATTATTTGCTTTTGGCGTCGTGGCTGCAGTAACAGACTAAAACTAGTATTGCAAAACATAGTAGCTGTGTCGACAGCTGTGCTTGGCTGTATTCAAGGTCTTACAACATTGCATTATCCAGAAAATGCCCGCGTGCACATCAAGCTTGCAAATGTGCTCAAGGTAAAAACAATACAAATATCTATTAATCATCAGTTGTCGAAAAATATATCTGAAACTATTCGTGCTATATGTAAATCACCGCTGATAACAGCAAAGACATGCGAATGTATATTTCCAGTTACCTGTGATCAGTGGTATTCAAACTTTTTTTCGACATTGCCCCCCCCCCCCCAGGGCCGATTCGACCGCCCGCCCCGCCATACACACACACAGGCAGACTAACCCGACATAAACTTCAATTATATAGAATTTATATATATACACATCATTTGTAATCCTTTCAATGGATGGTAACCATATATAAGCAGGTCTGCTCCAACCTCAAACCCCCCATTTGTTTTTTCCCTCACTGGTGCCTCCCCAGTTTGAATACCTCTGCCTATGACTATAATGGCAATATCTAGGCAGAGGGCAGCTGCTGTACACTCCTAAACACACCCAGCACTCAAATGAACAGGAAACCCCCACGTACCAGGGTCATTCTCTTCCTGCTTTCAGCTTTCCAAAAAAAAAAAAACCTTATATAGCTCCAGTGACACATTTTTCAGGACAATCTGCACATGTCTACAAGAAGCTAAGCTCGCACTGCAGTCTGTGAGCATTTTAAGCACAGGGATGAGTAAAAGCACGAGCACCACCGACGAGCGACCCAAGTGGGACAACAAAGTTCAGTACCTGCTCACTTGCATCGGATTCGCTGTGGGTCTGGGCAACGTCTGGCGCTTCCCCTACCTGTGCCAGATCTATGGAGGAGGTAAGACCCCCTTCATAATACCATAATACGTGGTATAATGTGGCAACTAAAATCACTGTCTATACTCTACAGCATGACTTGATGTATCAATCAGGTATGGTGCTTGAAGAACAATAGAAATTATTATTAGAGCAATACTAAACTGGGTCAATTTAACGTTCTTAGATTTTGGATTTCTTGATTTATTTTTTTAAATGGTTTTCTTGGAGATTTGGACATTTTCCACTTTTATTCATGGATTTGGTAGATTTTCAAGGAAAACTTTCCTTCCAATTGGTGTCTGAGGATGCTACGTTGCAGCTAGGTTAGCAAGGAAGCCCTACATTATTACATTACTTTTGGCTCTTTGCAGTGTGGGGTGGAGAATGTCAAATGATCACCAGCTTAGCTTCTGAGGTAGCTTGGCATGCTGGTGATGTTGTTTGTCCACACCTGGACAGGCTATCCAGACATGCTACAGCACTTATCAGCACTACTGGGAGCTTCGAGAATATAAATGTTTCTTGGCATAAGGATGGATTTTTACAATGTCTCACTGAAGACTAAATATACACAGATAAAATAGCTAAGAACTGGCCTAGTCCTTAAAACACCAGCGTCGTTTCTCTGAGTAATGGCTAAATAAACACAAGGACTAGCACTGAATGACCGAAATGAGCACTACCTGGTTCTCACAATGGTGTGGAAGGGGTTTGAAAGACCTCCAAAATTCAGGGGCCCCAGCATTTCGTAGGGCCCCCAAAATCAACTGAAGGGACGCCCCAGCCATAACACTCTATCTAGCATGGGATCCGTATTTCAGATTGAAAAGTACCAACCCAAGTAGGGGGCCTAGAATTTCTAGCTATTCCCCTGCATGTAACACTATAAAAATGCATGTAAACGTCTTTATAAATGTGTGTGTAACTGAGCAGGTGCCTTCCTGATCCCCTACCTGATCGCGCTGGTGTTCGAGGGACTCCCCCTGTTGTACCTCGAGCTGGCCATTGGGCAGAAGCTGAGGTCAGGAAGCATCGGAGTGTGGAATTCAATATCACCCTACTTGGGTGGAGTTGGTACGTTCCGTCCGTCTGTTTAATTACGCAACAGTGTTTGTATTAGAAATCTGTGTAGATTGTTCATTTTTTGAAGGTGATGAATGTCACGACAGCACAGCTAGGAGCATGCTAAAATGCAGCTAGGTAGGTCTCAGTAGGATAATTACTCTTCTTTAAAAGGTGCAATACCAAAATCATAAAAGGGCTCATAACTCTGAACTGCATATACTATTGTGTTTTTCCTTCTTAGCTACTGTATAGTGAAACTTGCTCTTGCTGGCTACTCATGTGTCAGACTAAGGGATCTTTGGACTTTCTTTGGGTTTTTTCCGGATTGTGTAGGTGTTGCATCCCTGGTTGTGTCCTTTCTGGTGGGCCTCTTCTATAACACCATCCTGGCATGGGTCCTTTGGTATTTATTCAATTCTTTTCAAGAGCCCCTACCTTGGAAGTACTGCCCTCTCAAATCAGACCTAACAGGTACCGAACCAAACAACCTGAGTAGACATACTCTGTGAGGGATCTATCCTTAAAGTGGTTCTGAAGGCAAAAGTGAGTCCTACCCAGTACTAGCTAAGCACACTTAATAAAGCACCCACTGAATGTATGGTAACACTTTCTATGAATGTCGTGTCTATAAGAATCTATGAACACATTCAGTACACATTATAATGCATTCATAAAGCATTATAAACATGGCTATAATTATTTATACGAAGGCATAAAACATTATAGCCATGTTTATTATGCATTATGACTTCCTCATGAAGCTCTCATCTATAATACACTATAGATTCCTTTATAATGCAGAATAAGGCATCCTTAATTCTTATACTGGCCATTATAATGCAGCTAATGAAGGTAACTGTAATGCATTATAGATGAGAGCTTCATTAGAGCTTATGAAGTATTGCAATCAACACATAAATGCCTTATGACTGACAATAGAATAATGCTTTATCAATTCTTGTACCGACCATTATAATGCATTATGAAGGTATCTATAATGCACTATAGATGACAGCTTGAAAGTGTTACCAAGTGTATATTAGTAATTTCTTTGGAACTACAGTAAATGATTGTTAAATTATTTTCAGTATTCAGTACAATGGGTTGAGTGTATTGTGAAATATTATTTTGGGTGAATGTAACAACTGGTGTAATGTTGCAGGCTACGTGGAAGAATGCGTGGAAAGCACGCCCGTTAACTATTTCTGGTACCGCGAGACACTAAATATAACAGCCAACATCGAAATCAACGGCTCGTTGCAGTGGCAGATGGTGGTGTGCCTGGCGAGTGCGTGGTGCGTGGTCTACCTCTGCTTCATACGCGGCATTGAGACCATCGGAAAGGTGGGGGGTGCGAGGTCAGCCACGCGAACTGATGCCGGCATGGTTTTGGTGACGTGAAAGAAGACACACCAAACCTACATGGGCTTGTGCTTGCGTCTGTACAGGCGGTGTACGTCACGGCGACGTTCCCATACCTGGTCCTCACCATCTTCCTGGTCCAAGCCCTCACCCTCCCAGGCGCTACCGTTGGGCTCCGTTACCTCTTCACCCCCGATGTGAGTCTTGGCTTTTCATCCGAAGATGCCTCTTGCGTTCATTCATCCATTCAGCTTCACGGTGATCTCAGGAAGCACAAGGTCGTGAGGAAGGGATGCACTCTGGACAGCGAGTCAGTCCATCTCAGGGCGCACAATCATCGCACAATCATCGCACACTGCTGACAATCAGGAGGCAGTGCCCGTCAACCCATCCGGCGGCATAGGCAGCCACCTAGGCCATCATCTTCTGGTGGGGTGCAACTTAGCAAGCCAATTTGACATTGCGTAGGACGGGGGGGTGAACTAACTAACTGCAGTTTTGTAGGAGTACCCAGAGATGATCTGCACGGCCTACAAAGAACATACAAACTCCAGACACACACAGAGCCAGGGGTAGAAATTGAGCTCATAGGCCTGGAGCTGCGACCAGCGGCAATTGCCTGGGGCCCCCAAGCTGGGAAGGGGCCCCTGAAGGTGCCCGATTGCATAGTACAGCAACGATAAATCTGCTTTATTTGTGTATTCTGCTTTTCACAGTGCAGTGAAAATAATGGAATTGTGTTTATTAAATTCCCTTTGCTGGTATTAATTTAGACTTCATGGTAAAATAATGGCCATAAATGTTACCACATTGGGCGGGGGCGTGTTGGGGGGCCCCCAGTGTCCCTAGAATCACCTCTGGTTGTGAGGCCAAGTGTTGCCTGGTATTTATGTAGGATGTGGTATCACAGGGTGGAAACCGGCCCTGGTCATGTGACCTGTGTGGTATGTTTTTCAGTGGGAGACGCTGAAGAACCCTAAAGTGTGGCTCGATGCAGCCACGCAGATTTTCTTTTCACTGTCCTTAGCTTTCGGGGGACTCATCGCTTTCTCCAGTTACAATCCTCCCAAGTGAGTGTCGCGTCGCGCCGTGCTGGACCCAATGAGTGATGCCGTTCACGCTCAGGGGGGGCTTAAACGAGTTCGTCTTTCAGGAACAACTGCGAGCGAGACGCACTGCTCGTGGGGTGCATCAACAGCGCCACGTCGCTCTACGCCTCAATCCCCATCTTCTCCATTCTAGGATTTAAGGCGTATTCGAACTTCAATTCCTGCCAGCAGAGGTGGGTCACAACGATTTTGCAGACAGGTCAGGATGTTGATGTACGGTGCTGAAGGCAATGGGGTTTCAGCAAAAAACGATTAATTATTACTTGCCATCTTATAGAAATATCCTGGCTCTGACTAATGAATTTGACATTGGAGACACGAATATAACCCTTGAAAACTATGACAAGTGGTTCGAATATCTGAACTCAACAAATCCTGACCGAGTTTTAAGCCTGAACCTGAAACACTGTGATATTCAGACCTTCCTTGACCAGGTACTCCAATCATATTCTATAAATATTACAATAACTGTCTTTTAAACAGTAGCTATTGGTAATGGTGTCACCTCAGTTTCAGAATTATTTGATGAACCAATGTATGTTTGAACCAATTTTCATAATTTTCAAAATTTCCCAAACATTTCTCTTTAAGCACTGATATATGTTGTCTTCTCTGGAACCAGAGTGCTTCTGGAACAGGCCTGGCTTTCATTGTCTTCACTGAGGCAGTGATTGAGATGCCGGCCTCACAGGTGTGGGCCGTGCTCTTCTTCATCATGCTCTTCAGCCTTGGACTTTCTTCCATGTTTGGGAACCTGGAAGGGGTCCTCGCACCCCTGCAGGACCTCCACATGGTGCCCAAGTGGATGCCCAAGGAAATTCTCACAGGTCATCTGATAGCAATCATCAGAGGTGGATAGCTCAGGTCCAGAAAGTAAAAATGCAGATCAAGATTTTGTTTCAACCAACCAGTTAAGCATAAGGAATCACTGTCACAGAAGACATCTCCGTCCGGATTTTTACTTTTTGGTCTTGAGCTATCTACCTCTTGTAATCCAGTAGTCTTCAAATGTGCAACAGAATTTTAATGTTAATCCGAAAATACACTGATAATCTCAGATGATTCAGCCAGCTCAGATCAGACATAGGATTTTTTGTGTAGTTTGATTCAAGGTTTTCAAAATTAATTTGGCAATGGTACTTTTGATTAATTGTTTATTTTGCAAAGACTGTCTTGTTTTGAAGTTTGGCCAGACGTGTGATTTCCTAAATATTGTTTCCTTCTTCTTCATTCTGTTAGGTTTGATATGTCTGGTCTCTTTTGCAATCGGCCTGATTTTCACAATGGGCTCTGGTAACTACTGGCTGGAGATCTTTAACAGCTACGTGGGCTCCCTGCCCCTGCTGGTCATAGCTTTCTTTGAGATCGTCGCTGTGGTTTATGTCTACGGTATGAAGAGGTACCTCTTCACCGCCCTCTTAGCATTGTCACTATCATGTCATTTTCAGATGTCAAGCTGCTGATTCACATTTTCATTTTGCGTTCCCTTCCTTCCAATATCATGGTGCCAATCCGCAATGACATAATTATGAAATGACGGTAATGGTAACTCGACATCGAGGCCGGCATGTGGCGAGACCAGTGTCACCTGAATGTCGTTGCAGGTTCAGAGAGGACATTAAAGAGATGACCGGCAAGAAACCCAACTTTTTTTGGCAGACGTGTTGGATGGTGATCAGCCCACTCATGCTGCTGGTCGTGTTTGTGGCTTATGTGGCGATCGAGGCTTCCAGAGTGCCAGAGTACCCGGCATGGAACCCGGACTACGTACGTTCTAGTATCGTCTTCTTTTAGAACCACGTCCATGCATGTGCACAAAGCAAATATGTAAAACCATTCAAATACATAAAAGTATTAAAAAAGCCAACAGCAGTCAGAAGCTACATACATTATGCTCAGCTAAACCCAGGTTATATACTGTAATAGTGTTTCCCAATCCGGTCCTCGGGGACCCACAGACAGTCTACGTTTTTCCTCTAATGTTTTTACCATGGGAGCAAAAATGTGGACTGTCTGGCAGGGAGCTGAGAGAGAGCAAAAACATGGAGCGACTGTGGGTCCCTGAAGAATGGATTGGGAAACAGTGCTGTAATAATCCTGTACTATTGACATATCTATTGCACATCAAGCCCAGACTGTAAATGCACATCACTTACATATTGGTATATACTAAATTTTGATAAAATGGACATAAGTCATACCATATCATGAACAGAAACTGCACACAGCCACCAAAGTGGGAAATTGAAGATGGCAGATTGACTCACTGGACCATAGAAATCGGTTGAATTTAACATCTATTAGGTTCCAAGTGCAAAGAATCCATGACTAATAGCCAACGTTTACAGGTGGACTTCCCCCAGACTGAAGACCAGCCCTACCCCGACTGGGTTTTTTCCATTTGCGTGCTGCTGTCCGCCCTGCCGTGTGTCTTCATCCCCATCGTTACGGTCTACAAGTTTTTCATGCGTCGTTGCAGGGGTAACAGCACGCCATATATAAATCCGTACGAGAACGGCAACCAGACAGACACCGTTCTTGTTTCATGTATTTATCAAATCAACGCTCAACAGAAAATGTAAAATAATCCTGGAGTATGGAATTTATCCAAAGGGTTTGAAAGAAACCCAAAAGGATTTCAGACAAATCTGAGCCATTTCTCTTAATATAATATAGACAAGCTGTTTTATTTATAAGGCTTATCTGTACTTGTTTCCAGCTAAATATGGGCATTACGTCTGGATTCAGTTATGGTATAAATATGTGAGCACATTACAGAATGAATGTTAAACACAAAGCAGAGCGACTGCCAAGTGAAAATGAAATACATTTACAATAAAAGGTATCTATCCGTCCATCCGGAATCCATAATAAAATGTCAACTGACTGCAAAACAGTCTGAGCTGAGAGCATTTGTGTAAAAACAAAACAAAAACAGAATTTACAAGCGTAGAATTTGATCTCATAAACGTAATAATCTTCCACGGGTGAAGCCTTACAGTGAAGCGGCAGCCAGGAAGGTTAATCACCACATGACCGGCACTTTGAGTACTGCTGTGGACACCAGCGTCTCCTGGCAACCGGTCCAATTGAATGACGCCCGCTGCCAACTGTAGACTGTACTGAAGAGGCAAATGGACCGTGTAGAGTGAAAGGGCTCACTAATGCAATTTAGGAAACACTATTAATCACACCCAGCAGAACCGGGGGGGGGGGGGAGCAATAATCATTGTTTGCGATGCGAACATCAATTCAGAGTTTGCTTTCTCATTTTACATGGTTTCCAAACTTGAGATGGATTTTGCTGTTTAATAAAGAGTTTATTTGAGGATTTATGAAACATTTTCACGAGAATACGTACAGGATATCATACAGAACAGTTAAAACATCTGGACATCATTCAGGCCTCACGAAAATCAACAGACTTTTAGACATAGATGCACCGGAAGTCCTCGGGGATTTCAGGCGTCGACGCTCGCTGGACGACGGCCAGTCGCACTGCTCCCAGCTTCCGTTCCAGCTGCCTCTTACCTGGTAGGATATGGAGAAAAATCAGGAAAGGTGACAGGGAACCAGAGCAATGCAGGTATAACTACACAAAGGTCATTTGTAGGTCATTTGTAACTGAGCAATCAGGAAACTGCTGGTCCAACAAAACAGTGCCAGGAAAATGATGTAAAAAAAAACCACAATTAACAAGGTAACTGGGGTGATGAGTCATAGAAATTGTTCACCTGTCAAGATCTGGATACAACAATAACAGGAGATGGGATGTGGTGTGTGGCCCAGTGGCTTAGGCGTCTATGTCTATGATCGGAAGGTTTTCAGTTTGAATCCCGTGCTCGGTCACATCACCATTAGGTTCTTAAGTAAGGTCCTTATCCCCCTGAAAAATGCTGAATTGGTGAGTCTGTGCTTTGTACCCCAAGTGTGTCTCTCATCAGTATATGCAGAGCAAAAGGGGTAGGTGACCAGACACATTCTCATGAACTGATCCCTGTACCAATAAGGCTTTTGAAGGGGGTGGGGCTTACTGAGTGCTGTCAATCATTCCCCGGTGGAGCAGCAGTATCGGAACCGAGAGAATGGACACCAGTACATACGTGTCCGCAGCCGTGGAAGAAGGCACTTGTAGAGGCTTCTGTGACGCGAGAGGATGGTGAGGAAGGAGATGCAGAACATCAGCTCCACAGCCTCAAACTGCAGGCAGCCTCCCATGTTCCTGAAGCCCAGATGGTCTCCTGAGAGAGGTGGAGATGCACCACGTTATGAAACCACGCTACTGGTACAGGCCTATATAAAAGTACCAGCGGTGGAGGGAGGACTTGCCCTGGTTATTTTTCCTGATCAGCAGGTTGCAGAGCTTCGCCATGTTCCAGATCATGACTTCGAAGAAACGTGGGTTGTTCTTGACCTTCTGGCCGAAGGGCAAGTTCTGCACGCAGGCATGGAATCTGCAACAAAGGAGAACAACTTCCAAGGGCAGAGGAGGTCACAGATGGTGATGCCCACGGAGCAAGGCGAGTAGCACTGCTGGTCCACCAGCCTCCGATGCAGATACTGAGTGAGTAAGGTGACATGCTGCATCCAACCTGTCAGTTGAAATAGGTTATTTACCCGTGAAACACCATGCAAAGTGACTTCCTATCAAATTAATGGACTAAGCAGTTAACCAGCAAACCCAGTTGCCCTCAAAGACAGGAATTCCCCATCCCTACAGTCTAAAAGCCACACTATGTGTATTCAGTAATAACCTTGGGCTCTTATCTTTAAGTGTGAAAAACAGGACCACGTTTCTAAATTTCATGAGGGCCTTTGACAGCAATGTTTGTGTGGCAGCCAGGCTGAATGATGGGTAACGGGAAGGGGGTGGTTACACTTATGGATCTGCACCAGCTGAGCACATCCCACTGCTATCAGAATGATTAACCTCTAAGGTCCGGCCTGTGCAATAATAGACATGTTAAACATCAACCTCCATTTGAATGATGTTAGGAATTCGAGCTGCATTCTAAGTACGAGAGACTGAAGTCCATTTATTACCGCATATATGATCACTACATGTAACAAGGGTTGGGATTTGTCTTTTTAAAGAGATAATTCCACCTCTTCCTTATAAGACTCAACAGATGTTTGGTCGATGAGTCTCGTTCTACAATCCCTGCAAAATAAGATGGATGATTTAAAGATTATTCTACAAGGCAGGTTCAGGTTTGGGTGCAGTACCTATGTGCCTGAAGCAGCAGGATCTTGTAGATGTTCAGGTAGACGGCCTGCAGAGAGTTCATCTGCGTGAAGACAAAACAATGTTCACATCATTACCACTGAGGCCACAAGAGACTAAAAAACACCGGCAAACAGGTGATCCTAGGAGCAGAGATTCATAACCAGAAGATGCAATACATTCATACATTTAGCAAATGCTTTTGTACAAGACAATGTACAAGAACAGAAAGCTTTGAGTCAGGGATCAGGGTCAGATAGAGAAGCTGGGCTTAGGAGCCTTACAGGTATGGGACTTGAACCTACAACCTTAAGGACAAAAGCACAGATCGCGAACCCACTTAGGTAAACACTGCCCCCTGGTTCAAATGTAAAATAATTAAAATATTATGAAAAGCTCTACTAACGTACCCTTAAGCAAGGTACTTAACTGCTCTAGTAACATATCAAACTTTATAAACTGGTTAAACGAGAAACGTGTCGGCTGACGGAGATGACTGATCAGGTCCAAACGTCCCTGAGGTGACAAAGGCCAGGTTCTCACCTTCAGGTCCAGGAACATGGGGAGGCACTTGAGCTTCAAGATGGACAGGAGCTTTCTCTTCATGTGCTGTCCGGGGAAGGGCGAGGAGCCGAGGGTCAGGCTGCTCCGCAAGGACAGGCCGGCATAACTGACAGGGTGGATGCGGGGGAGGGGGAGGGGGTGGGGGGTCCACAGTTAGAGTCTACAGACACATATGAGTCCTGACTTGGATTATCAGCCATGGGACTAAGCCACCAGGACAGATCATTAGCACACATCATTGTAGCATGGGAACAGCTGGTTCTATCAAGAACACAGCAAACGAAAGGTTTTATGAGATCAAGTGGCTTTGGGCCTTTAACATTTAAACGCATCATAACGTCTTCCCCATAAAACCCTTCGCATGGCGCCTTTAACCACGAACTCGTCACGACAGCATCTTCTTGTGATGCAGGATGGCAATAAAACGTAGCAACAAAACTTTATCATAGCTATTCCACGAGGACTAAACTACAACAGATGGTTTATTGCAGCTATTTCACTAGGGCTAAACCAGAATATGTGGAAAAAATGTGTCACACATTACAACACAGATAAATTATTAACAGATAATATGCATAACTAACACAGGTTGGGAACTTTGCCAGCATTCAAAATAGTATAAAATTTCAGTGGTTTAAAAAATCTATTTTCATTCAGTTATTTGTATTTTTTAAAGTGACATTTCTGGGCATCAGTGATAAAAAGGAGGCCATTTTTCTATAGTCGGAACACCTGTGAAATCGGAACATCTGTAGTGTTTCACTCAGAGCAAGTTACTCTAAAGCACAGCTTCAAGGGGAATGACAATCTTCATGCTAATAAACGTTTATCTTAGCAAACATCCACTTTGAAATAATTATATTTTTTATTAGGGTTGCAAGGCTGCACAATAACACATCGCGATGTACTGGTGATTACATGGTGCATGCACGATAATCACCAGGGCTTCAGATGACGAACGAAACATCTGATTGGACACCAGGTTTTCGGTACTATATGAATAAACTGCAATTCACCGCTACTTCGGTGCATACCGTGCAGTTGTATGTGGCGTGCTCCGCTAATCTAATGTAATGCACATAAGGAAACGCAGAATTTATACAGATTACTAACTTATGGGCATCACAATACGCATCTCATTAATGTTTTAGGCATACTGCTAATCTGTTTACCAAATTGTGGGCATAAATAAATGCCCATAAAGTATCGAAAAGCCTGTCCTTTCGCCTGTCATCTAAAGCCCTGGTGATTATCGCACCATATAATCACGAGCACATGGAGAGGTGATTTCGTGCACCCCTATATTCAGTGTATTCACCTAGGGCTGGGTTCTTCAAATCTGGACCTCGATTCCAAATCCAGGCCTTGTTTTCAGTTCTCCCAGGTAGTTAGTTTAATAATTACTGATTCTGATTGGTCAGAGGCTTCACACCTGACTGACAGGTAAAGGAAGGCTGGAAAACCAGCAGTGCTCGGGCCTCGAGGACCGTGAGTTGAATAATAGGGACCTAGGGGTTTAAAAAGCACCACTTTAGGTGTCTGTGGCCCAATTGCTTTGTGCCCTGAACCCATCCTGAGGAGCTACCAGTGGTGCTTGTAATGTCCAACCCGCATCCTCACCTGGAGTAGTCATTATAGACATCCAAGTTATCAGTGTCCAGAAGAAGCCCGCACCATGGAAACAAGCACTGGAAGGGCAGCTGGCGGACACTGGGAATGCCCTCCATGTCATCCACAGGGAAGTTCACAGCGACCTTCGTGGGATTCGCAAAGCACCCGTACTCCGGAACGCCCGCCAGCAGGGATCTGTTACGCCAGAGGTGTCGGAATGATATTGCACCATTTATCACCAAAATGGCTGCATAGTTTCATGCCAAATAACCCCTGAAGGTCATGGACCCACTTGAGGAACATCTGGGCCTTGTCAAACTCAGGTGTGATGAGCAGGAAGTCGTCGACCAGCCTCAGCAAACACCTAGCAGCGTGAAGACCAAACACACGTACCTTAAGCCTTGGCCAGCACCTGGGCAGTCCGCCCTGAACCCGCACAAAGAGGAGAACCAACCACACAGCTTTTGACAAAACCTGCATGTACTAAAGGCCAAAAGTCTTTGCAAACCTCAGCAAAACGCACATAAACAGAAACTGCAGCCTAAACAATAAGACATGAAATCATCTTTGTAAAGAAGGCATCCCTAGTAGGCGTAACCTCAAGAGTTTCTAGTGTAAGAAGCATACTTTTAAATTCTATGAGTTGCCACAGTGCTACCTGTTGGCCAAAGTTAGTTCTGCAGGGTGATGATTTGACTGCTTAGTGTGCTTATTTCTGCGAAGAACCAACACTAAGACTTTAAGGATGCGTTAAAAATTGCCCACTGACGGCAGTACATACTGAAATTCCTGAAGTCTAATATTTGACCGTTAATGTAGTACATACTATATGCACAATATACAGGAGAGCAGTATGTATGCATAAGGACGTACCGCGGTTGCCATCTTTCATATTACTGTACCTCACCCGGATGTTTACTAATGACATAGCCTGACACACACTAGATTCAAAAACTGTTAAAAAACCATCAATGAAAAAATATTCATATTCAGGTCAACTTATGCAACGGTACTGTTTGTACAGAAATGGCACTTCCTCCACCATCTTGACACAAATTTCTGAGCAAGAAACAATCTTTGTCTCTGGATGCCGCTCCAGTGGCCTTGTGGGACAGCACAGCCGCCATCGTTTACTTAGGAATTTCACAGAATGTAGTACATCATCCAGGTATCGTTCGCTTACTGCCTCATCCATACTGAGGATTCCTATATTCCACTCACTACTACACAGTAAAGTATGACATTTCAGATGTACCCTAAGATTTGGTAGGAACAAACAGGCAAGGTCACATGACATGCAGCAAAGCCATACCCTCCTCCATCTGTAATGTCTCGAAACAGGGAGTTCTCCATGTGTCCGTAACAGAGGCAGCAGAGCAAGGCAGACACCACAGAGCCCTGTGGAATCCCGCGGCACTGCCGGAACATTCTAGAAACGTTAAAAGAGATGAATGTGGAGACGCACGAGAACCACCACCTCCAGCACCCAGGAAGGTGATATTTGAGAAAATGGACTTACTTCTTTCCAAACTGAATGACGTAGTTAGCCAACATCTGCTTGAAGAATTCAAAGACGTCTTTACCATATGTGTCGAGTGAGTATCGCTGGGAAAAAATACATTTAAACTGTAAGAACTTCTGTACCTTTCAATAATATATTTCTAGAAACTTCTAACATTATTCAAATTATCCAGCATCAGAACTAAGCTGCTTCATTTATGCGCCACAGTCGGTGAGCTTAACATTAAACCTTTAAACCCTTCAAACAAGAATGGATTCTGTCTGCGTGTTCAATTAATTTGGGAGATATTAAGTGGGCACTGAAAGTACGAAAATAACTTTAATTAACCAAGGTGTTGCTAGCCACAAGCTATGTGTATCCTGGGAGAGACCCCAGGCTCACAGAAAAGTACAGTATTAGTGCTTGATGATGGATGTTCCAATAGAATGGGGAAGCCCGTTTGGCTCCATGTTTCCTCTCACCTGCTCTATAAGAATGGAGTCGTGAATCTTGCTATTCTGCTGAATCGTCATCATGAAGCCCCTCACCGTGGTGTCCGTCTCGCCCCATTTCTCTACCTACCACAGAGATGCATTTATCTTTTATTTAGAAGATGCCTTTATCCTAAGTACAAGTGAGGCTCACAGAGCATTGTCAGCTGGCGTTCCTGCAGCGAATTGAGGTTAAGAGCCTTGCTCAAGAGCCCAATGATGACATCACTCTGTCAGCCAGGGGATTTGAACCAGCAAACTTCCGATCACAGGAATAGAGTCCTAAGCAGCAGTGTAACTCACTACTCCAAAACCCACAAAGATCCCAACATTTAACAACCACCAAATGCATTAATCTACACACAAATTTAAAATTTCCACCCCGTTAATAAAACCATACCAACAGCTCACCCGTCTTCGGAATGCCCTCTTCATGCTGTCGTTGGCCTCGGACCACACCTGGGCCCACCAGCGAATGACAAAGGCTTCGTTCCATATGGGGAAGAGCACCTCCGTGACGACCTGCAGCAGCTTGTCGTGGGGCAGGCTGTCATAGGCACCGCTAACGTCCACCTAGTCAGGGCACGCATTAACAGACGCACAAGTTTCCAAATGCATCTTTCATATGCATCGCCATTGGCTCACATTAATGCCATTCAATTCCGTAATATCACCTTCACGAAATAGAGGGGGCGGGGCTTCTCCTTATGGAGGGCCGCGAACGGGCCCAATGTCTGGTGGATGTCGCGAACGCCAAACACCGTGGAGCCAAGGAGTGTCGGTCTTTTCTGGACGCAAAACCGCAGGAAGTCATGCAAGTCCTTGATTCGAGACTGAAAGAGCTTCGAGACAGAGACCATAAAACATCACTCGTCTGAAACCCATACAGTAAATAAAAAAGATTTATACCAGTGACCAAGCTGCATGTAGGTTAAAGGTTAAAGCAAAGAGGTTGACTGTGCATTTTAGCGTCAATAAAGTGGTTGGTTTCACAGAAGCAGGGTTGTGGCCATTCCGGAATGCATTCATCAATTCCAATCCAATTCAGGAAGTGGAACTGGAGTTGGAATTAAAATCTCCCTGAAATTCGAATTCAGAAGTACAGATGACATCAGGCAGAACGTGGCCATTAGGCAGGGCTGAGACATGACAACAGTAAGGTGCAGAATGGAACAGACAGTGGTTAGGGTTAGGGTTAGGCAGCACAAAGCTGGGAGCCACAGTACTGACCCATCCTAAGGTTACAGGAAACATTCAAAAGCTACCAGTACAAGTGGGCAACTTGGAGACTCGTACCCATGTTCGGCTGTCTGCCTTCGCCATCCTGGCAATGGGTCTCATGCCCCCAGGCTTGGGAATGAAGCGCAGGCGGGACACCACCGTAGCTTTAGGGAGACGCTGCTGGGGCAGGAGTTCCCACTGACTCCTCAGGATGTGCTTCCTAACGGACGGAGACGGCCAACATTCGTACCCCGGGGCTGACAGAAAAGCTGAAACCAGCATAATTTTCAACCCATCATAGCTTGTTTTGCATTCATCTACTTACCAGTTTTGTCTTTCTGCAGCAGTCTGGGTTAACTACTGTACATTGTTCTACAGCAGTGTTTCCCAAGCTGCTAAAGAGCTGGGCGGGAGCGAAAATGTGTATCGTCTGGCAAAGAGCTCAGAGGGAGCAAAAACATGGACCTACCAGGGGCTAAGAGGAAGCAAAAGTTTGGTGTAACTGTGGGTCACTGAGGACTGGAATGGGAAACACTGTTCTACTGCATTAAAGAAGGGATTCTAAGTTTCTGAGGCCGGTTGCATGAGTTAAGGTTTCCTTAAAATAAAGTCGGTTGCACAAAACATCCTTAAGTCTTCTCCTTAAGGTTTCGTTAAAATCTTTATTTAAGTATTTAAGTTTTTCCCCTTATCTTGGTCTTACACTTAAGGAATCCCTTAAAGTTCCCTTAATGGTTGCACAAAACATCTTAACAACCAAAGTAAGGTATAAAAACTTAAATCAGATTCTTGTTTTAATTATGGTCACGTAAAAAACCTTCGTCAGGCTATATTCTCCTCAACATTTCTGTCAACGAAATGTAACACTGGAGGCGATAACAGGTATCAGGAGCAGGCGTGAGGGCAAACAAACACAGTCTCCATGGAAACTGCACAATTTCACTTAATTGTCATACTTAAGGTGTTTTGTGCAACTGGCTCCTGGTCCTTAAACAGTACGCCGCCTCTCGGACACATTCCATGTTTTCGACATGAAAAAGCACTAATTTCTGAATAGGATGAAGGAAATTGAGGTATGAAGATGGAACGGCGACACGGGTGAGGCCTGCAGTTGCAGGGGCCGCCTCTGAGGCAGAGAGACCTACCCAAACGCCAGATCCTGGAGTTTCACCCAAACATGCTCCCGATAGAAGCGCAGGGCATTCTTCTGGCCGGCACTCTCAGTGACGTAGAACAGGGCCCGCACCAGGCCCATCACGAAGCGGTCCAGCAGCCAGGCCAGGAACCGGCTCAGGAGGTGCTCCCGGTATCGGTGCTCGCTGGCAGGGCAGCGACCTGAAATGGGGAAAGGAGGAGGGATGAGGAGCTGTAGGACACACTCACGGTGGATAGGTGGGGTTGAGTGGGAGGCGCCTTACCGGTCTTGCTGAGCTTGGGCCAATCACAGTCATTCACCCTCATCTTCCACAGGAGCTGAGAGAGAGACAGCCGGTCGAACTTCCCCATGGACAGGAAACGCTTCACACGCAGCAGGAAGTGGACCCGGTTGTGGGCAGATCCCCAGAACTCCTCGGGGACGACCCGATGGAGGCACTCCCGGACGAAGAGGTAAACCTGACGGGGAGTGCTGTGGCGGGTCAGGAGGACGGTGACATCAGCATCGGTGTCTCCCACCGGACACGTCCGTCGCAAGAGCTGGATGTAGGGACAGCCGCGGTGTCGACGGAGGAGCGCGGCGAAGAGGCCCACCATGCCGTGGAACCGCACCGGCAGCCTCCGGGGCTTCCTCTCGGTGCTGCTCCCAAACACTGGGCCTTCAAAGAACACCAGCCGCACCAAGTCCCGCCCCTGGAGGCGCCGAGGCACCGCAGCCCCCACCCTCAACTTCCTGTTCAGCAGGAAGTTCCCCAGGCCACGCCCTCCGTACAGCAGCCCCAGCGCGCGGAAGAAGCAGTCGGTGGGCCTCAGCAGCGGTAATTTTCTCCCAGAAGGACCGTCCCCCTGGAAGGTGGTAGGCAATCTCGGCCCCCTGGTGGCTGTGGGTTTAAATCCCGTGACTTCCAACCTCACCCGCTTGGAGAGCGGCTCCTTGTCCTCCTGGGCCTCCCCTTCTCCAGCTTCCTCCCCTCTGCTGCGCCTTCGCTTCCTCGCCCTCCTCCTACTCCTCCTCCTCTCCCTCATCCTCTGGTCCCCTGCCGCCTGCCCCAGTCTCGGCTTTGCGGCTCCATGAGCGGATCTAAACCTGCTGAGCTGAAATGCAGAGCCTGGCCCAGCAGGGACGCAGTCATAAAAAGGAGGGCCGCACACCTGTAACAGGCAGCTAGGGGGCACTGTGGTGAAGACAGTACAGCTCTCCAGCACGTATCTGGTCAAGTCTGTGCCCAGCCTACTGTGCAGCTTCTTCCAGAAGTCGCTATGGTAGACATAGGCGGCGCTCAAGGAGATGTTGCCATGGAACTTCAGCACGTCAGCGTCCATCTGCTTGCCCTCATAGAGGGAATAGCCTTGAGACAAGACGTTCTTCCTCCTCCTCCTCTTCAGGGTATTCAGCACTAAAGCCAGCAGCTCTGCCAGCGTAATGACCTGCACAACGGGATTGAGAGACGACGGCTGAATGGGACAGGATACGTGCGAGAGATATGAGAATACGGGTATAACAGCCATTGCAAAACGAAGAGGTAGTAGCACGTAATTTTATTTTATATTCCATGCAAGTGAGCGTCACCCTAAATCATATACATCGTTCACGTCGCATCATCCATTAGTAATATAACAAAATAAATCATCCATGTAATATTGCTATTCGTATTTATACTCTTCAATGGTATATTTTTTACATATATACATCATAAGAGCATGCATATGTTTTCCAACTTTTAGTTTGAATACTTAATAAATAGAATTGTTGCATTACGTATGTGTTATATTAATTATTTAGCAGATTCGTTGCTTGGAAATTCTCTCCCTCTGCATCCACTTTAATCCTGGGTAAACTGACCTGGGTGCAGCTGGGGACTTGCTGCAAAACCCTGTCCGAGCAGATCAGCAGTCCCTCGATAAATAACGTGTAGCGCGCGCTGTCCGACGGCTCCACCAGCAACACCTTCCTTCCCTCCTTGAACACTATAGTGTCCGAGAACTCCTGGGCCGTCCGCACGATCGGATAAACGGAGCGAATTAAGCGAAGGACCCGGGTCACATCACTGTTTGCCATGTTTGTGTTAAGTTAATTTAACAGATTTGTAGGATGACATCCTGCACGTTCCGCCAGTTCACTAAAACGTGTATTTCAGTGAAGGACCGGCAAACCGCTCCACATTTCTACCAATGAAAGGGCGTATACACCTACCAATCAAAATCCACTATTCAGCTGGTAGGCGGGTTGCAAAAACGGCGAGGGAAACTTTGCATCGCGGGAAATACCGGCTGTCAATCAACTCATACGAGCCAATAAAACAACGAAGGGGCGATGATCATAAGATCAACAGCGTTCACGCCGGTATTCCTCTGATTCATGATGTGAGAAACACACAACTACGTGCGCCAAAATTACGGCTTTTCCAACACCCGAATTCACTTATGTTATGAAGAGTCCAAAAAAGGCATGTAATGGCTAGAACGCATCAAGGGTTCAAGGGTTTTATATGTCACATTCAAGATATAGTCAGACTATAACCTGCAGTTGAAAGGCAAGGTGGCCAACTCCACCATATAAAGACAGCAGAAAGTAACGACATGCTAATGAATGGACATAAAAAATGAAAGTTATATGGAAAATGGCTATACTGAAAGCAAAAATAAAAAACAAAAGTTATACTGTACAATAAATGGTCCTGAGATATGCAGGACAGCTCGTATAAAGTACAAGCTGCAGGAGGGGATGTGAATTCAGGTGTCAGCCAGGAATTAAGCAGTCTGATGGCTTGAGGGTAGAAGTTGAGCCTCTCAGCTCTCACTGGGACACAGGAAGCGCTTACCTGACCTCAGCCTGGTGAAAATGTCACTGCATGAGTGGGACGTGTCCCTGCAGATTTTGGCAGCTCTGCTCCTGTATCTTCAGAGGTAAATATCTTACAATAAGCTGAACATTCCACCCTCTGCAGAGCTTTGTGGTCCAGGGCAGAGATTCCCATGGTGAGGATGTTCTCTAATGATCCCAAGTAGAAGGCTAAGAATGGCTGGTAAGACCTAACTTTACCACACAACATTAACTAGCTTAGTCTTAGAGATGAAACAAGAATGCCATCCTTAACCATCTGTTTTGAGTTTCAATTGTTTTACTTAATTTGTGTTAAACGTAACTACTTCCTACTTGCTGATCACTTTTAATTACCTTATTTCTTAATCCTTACTGGTGTGTATGATGTGCATGATTTCAGAGAAACATCAACACTTAATGTTTAGGTAATTTATTCTTAAAATGTATTACAATACAAAATAGATACACAAAACAAAGCCTTCTTTATGGAGTCCATGCATCACACAACCAGCATGTCTGCAGGTGGGGGTCTGAGAGGGATCTCCCCCAATGTGAACCTTTTCCCTGCAAACTCCTTCAGCTCCTCCGCCGTAAGCTCACTCTGCGGCGTGTAGAGTTTCCCCGTCATGCTCACAGCGCCACCTACTGTCGGCGCTGGCCCCTTCGCACCGATCGTGCCACTGGGCTGTGCGAAGGAGCTGTCCCCCTTGGAGACAAACACGTTCCCGACCGAGGGCAGCGAGAAGGAGAACTCAGAGACATTAACAGCTCCGCCAATACCGGTGGGCTTCTCCTTGTCAGTCAGAACGGGAGCGGCGAAGGAGAAGGAGGAAGCAGAGGGGGCGGTGGACGGGCCGCTGTCCGAAAACCCGAACCCGGTCGGTGCCAGACTTGTGGCCCCGAAGCCTGATGGGCTTCTCTGCGTGTCTGCAGACCCGAAGCCGCTGCTGGAAGCTTTGAAACTGAAGCTGTTGATGTCTGAACTGACAGCTCCAAAGCCTGCTGGGAAAATAATGCAGAAACGTATCAGCATCTGCTCATTCCTGTCAGTACACGCATACAGAGATGACACGCCCAGAATCCTGTTCAACCTCTGCATTAAATCATTCCAAACAAAACAGAGAGATGCAAGCCTTACCTGCTTTTGTGAAGGTTGGTGCTGTAGAAGCAAAACTCACTGATGATGGCTGAGGATCTGGGTTGTTTAATTCTGATATCTATTTAAAAATGTGAGTACATAAGAACCCATGATCTTATAAACACTTTCCTTTTAGCTGCTTCAAACCCACTTCCACACCATCCATCCTCTATACCTGTGCTATTCAGGGTCATGGCAGAGCAGAGTATTTCCCAGAAGCTTCATCTGACCAATGTTAAAAACTGGATTTCAGACCATAATGTACAGTACTGTGCAAAAGTCTTAAGCAGTCATAATAAATATTTAAATAATCTTCATGTTGTTTAAAACTTTGATGTCATGTCTGCCGAAACATGTCAGCTTCGCCATTTCAAAACCTCTCCTAGTCACCCCAGTATTTACAGCAACTGTCCAATACACTTTTTTTTTTCTTTACTCAACCACTAGCACACCTCATAAGGCTAATCAGTACCTCACTGACTTTTTAAGCTATTTAAATCAATTAAGTGAACTTGTGATCAAATTTAACAAACACAGAGAATGGCTGGGGTGCCCCTGAAGAGAGGTTTGGGAACTGAAACGGTGTTCATCTAGCCAGCCAACGAGAGAACAACAATTTTTTAAAGAACAGAAGATTTTTTTGTTAGTTTTTTTGTGTTTTTCTTAATATGCAATTATTCTGATATTAAACTGTGTTTTTTGTTCTGGGCAAAGATGTATATTTACTACCCAGATAGATCATTTTAAACAATTCCTTTGACTGCTTAAGACTTTTGTACAGTACTGTACATCTACTCATCCAATTGTTCTAGTACTGAATGCCGATCCATACATAGGACTTACCAGCTGGGCACGTGAGTCTGAATTCAAGATCTTTAGTTCCTGCACTCTGTTACTCCACTGGCTGAACAGCTGTTGCACGGAGGCGGCCTGAAATGCACCCGCATGACACACTCATTCTGACAAACGGTCAGACCGTAGAGCTTCCTATAGGTCACTGCATGCGAGCGGAATAAAACTGGCATGAGTGTGTCAATAAATGTGCCGAACATTATTATGACAGACAAAAATGGTACATAGTGAGAACACCATTATTACTCAGGCATGTAGACAACACACAGAAGTACTTTTCAACTGTGTTTAGTATTTACTGCATATCCACCTGCAGAATTATCCATGGACCATTCGTTAAGTAGTCAGCATACATCTTAAACACCATGAAACCGCATGTCTGGTTTCATGTGACCTCAGTGAGGATAAGTTTTGTAGACCTCCATGTGTGGTTCTGGAAAGACGCTGTGATGTCATGCAGCATGGAGCAAACCCAAGCGTTTTAAATTTATAGGTGAAACAGTGGCTCTTACATAGGTCTGCAGGCTTCCTGATTCTCTGCATTTGTAATATTCCAGCCTTAACTCATCTGGAGACAACTCCGAAAAACCTGGAGGGGGGGGAAAAAATAACATTCAAATCACTCTGTCAATCGTCCTACGCTATGACTACTACTTTTGTCCTTGTACTTATGAAAAACATGCACAACAAACCAATTTTATAAATAACAAATAAACAGACACAAATGACATTTTGCCAGTGATTAGACTGATCATGCTTTTAGCAGATACCAGAGATGGAAGCTTTTTGAGCTGAATAACAGGAAAGTGGCCACTGCCCAGAGCTTTCCCAGCTTTCCATATCCTTCTTGATAGTCTCCCTTTGAACACAAAACATACAGAACTTCAATTATAGTAATCCTGAAAAGGCCTCTGCATAATTAAATACTGCACATATATAATAGAATGAAAGCACTGGGTTTAAGAGAACTTAAATTGCATGTAGGCCTCATTGGATAGAGATCATGGAAATTCAATTTAATCTTATAACCTAATAATTTCTTATTATTCAATAAAGTTGCTATCCGCTGATATTTTATGGGAGGGAGGAAAAATGTGTCGTAGGTAACAGAAATGAACTTACAAGAGTTTATCGTTCTCATCTTGACCACTGTGATCAAAGGTCTGTTGGGTGTCCAGGGCAGTGAAGCGGTTATGAGCAGTGAAGCTAAAACCGGAGGCCTTTATGTCCCGCTCTCCTCCACCACCGCCGCCACCACCTCCTCTCCCCCAGTCATTACCCCCCCTGGCAAAGGAGGGAGGTGCAACATAGTCTCGTCCAGACCTTTGTGAAGGGTTCACCCACACTTTGTTTCCATAGCCTAAGAGAAAAACAATGACAGTTAACTGCATTTTCATCGTATTGCTAATGTGAAGCCTCGTTTTGCGCTGGGTCATATTTCTACAAGTACACGCTGACCTGGATTAACGTGGTTGGTAAATAAAACATGAAATCCACCGTCACTGTCATTACAGATAGTAACAAGGCCGCAACAAACTGCTATTTCCCAACAGCATACACGTAACAGTATAAATTAACAATATAAAGGCTTGACTGCTTCCCCACCTCTTAATATAGGAACACGCCATTATTGTACGAAAATTATTCCCGTTATCCGAAAATCACCGAAAAACAAATTTATGCACATTTACGCCGGTAATCACAGTAATTATATCAGTAACTGTAGAATCATAACAGCAGTAATAACAACAAACAAGTCTTAGCGGATATTTACGGTAATAATCCAGTTAAGGGACATGTTAGGATCTACGTGATTTATCAGCGTAGATATAACTATTTTGACAATTTTCAAGTAATAACAACGAAGATTGGTGAAATGTGCACCTCCGCCTCGGTAACTGCTGGACTGCTGACCACGGTTGTTGTTGTAACCACCGCCGCCGCTTTGTGGGTGTTCATTCCAGCATCTCTCTCCATACCGACACCGGCCTTGTAAAAAAAAATTACAAACTGTCATTTTGTGATAAGATGTAAGAACGACAAATCTCGACTTTCCAGCTTTTCAAAAAATTAAGGCAGGCCCGGTGCGAGCCGCCATGTTACTACGTCATCATTATAGCATCTGATGTTTATGGTGGCCGTGACTGGCCAAAATGCACCGCAAACCCGATAGAAAGCGAACATCTAAAACGCTTGAAGTAAACGAAAGCCGGGACTACACTTCGAGCACCATCGCTAATAAATCCGTGACAAGAGCTCACGATTAACCATGAAGACGCAACCGATTACAAACTGATAAATCAGAAATTGTTGGCTAAAATGCCATACCAAACATAAATCACTGCATTGCTACTTACGGGGCGGGAACATGCATGTGGGACTCCTGGCGAAACATAACGATTTACGTTCGATACTCACTAATAGGCAACTTATTACAAGGGCAAACTATACACTGCCTAATGCTGATGCTAGGAAAAACTGTCTGGTTTGAACGAACATAATTGTTTTAGGGAGACCAAAAGTGTACCTGAAGCAATCAATTTCATCCCTTCCCACCAGCAGTGGCTAATTTTCAATGATATTTTTATTGAACAATCGAACAATCAATATGAAATATAAACATACATGCATAGCCTACATACAACGTGGTATTGGTAACAATTACCTTAGATTCTAAGGCTTATAAGATATAAAAACCTGTGACAAAACCAAGACGCAAAGTTTTCGTCTCAAACATAAATTTATTTACAAAAATCTGAGCAAACTGTTCAGCATAAAACCTGCTAAGTCCATTTTTAGGCTTTTTATAATTATTCTCACGAAGAAAGTAATGAACAAGAATATTAACAAAGCTCTTTTAAGTGCATTTGGCACAATGTTGGTAAAATGGAAACATGATGCAGTTGCGACTCTCACAATGAGGGCATATACTGTATATATTAATGCATTGTACAAAAATTCTAAATCACTAAACAGGTCAAATAAAATTTTGAAAATCGCCCTTTCAGAGGAGACTCAGAAAAAAAATATTTGCAACCTGTGTCCAAAACCCAAAAATATTCTTCCGTGACATTCTGGGGGCAAAGCTGTTATAACCTAAATACAGAAACCGGATTCATCTCGGTCCTCTAAACAGGGCCCCTTGTACGAATACTTTCCTGAATCCCAATTTAACTATTAAATAAACACCTACATACAAAACAGCACAGCAAATGATTTGTGCATAATGGAACCTGTGATTGAAAAAAACGCAAAAATGTTTTTGCATTTTTGGCATGTCTTTGTTGGGGAGGGGATCTAATAGCAAAATCGGCAGTTAAGCTGACACTGACTCCTTCCACCACACTGAAGTGGGGGGGGGGGGGGAGGCCTCCAGCTACACCGTGGAAGTTGAGGGCACGTCTCCTGCTGGGGTCTGGGTGCCAGTGTCCTCCTCGTTGGCCCCACAGATGTCCACCACACAGATGAGGCAGCTGGTAACTGGGAAGGCCCGCACCTTACTGCAAGCCACCCACTTGTCCGTCTCGGTGTAATATTCCAGGATGTGCGCTAGGCGTCCCACTCCCTGGAAGCCGGCCAGCACGTAGATGACCGATCCGACGGCGGCACACTTCACCGTCACGCCCTTCCACGGCATTGGTGAGGCCGGCCGCCACTCGTTACTGCTGATGTCATAGTACTCCACGGAGTCCAGGCCCCCTGCAACATTACGGGGAAAACAGCCACATAATGGACACGCTCTCACTCATGACCAGTTTATTGGTCGTTAATAACCAACCAGGAAATACTCGATGGACACGCCCTCTTACTCATGACCAGTTTATTGGTCATTAATAACCAACCAATCTTGCCTGCATTAACCAGAGATTATTCTTGCATGTCTTGGTACTGTGGGAGGAGACCCACACATATTCGAACCCCACACTCAAACACAGAGCTCAGGCTGGGATCAGACCCACGACGGTGGGGGAGGCCACAGTGCCTTTAAAGCTTCAGGAGACAGACAGCTTGTTCAGGTGTGAAATCTACTGCAATCGAGAGCTCCCTGTTTTAGGTTACGCATTTCGATTGAGTGAGACTCAGCAGGAGCATCGGTCCCGTACCCATGCCGTTCTGTCCTCCCACTGCGTAAATTCTGTCGTTGACAAACACCAGGCCATGGTTCTTCCTCGGTTCCCTCATGGCACAGAGATCCCTCCACCTGAAAAGGCAGCAAACCAAAGTTTGGACTTAACATGGAGCTGCCCAAGTTTAAAGCTTAAACAACACAGCCGTCACACAGTAAGATCCACGTGGTTGGAGCAGACGACGTCAGTGTGGCTACGAAAGACTGAGAGGTCGACGTCATGCCGAAAGGCCAGGGCTGACTCACTCCTCCGTGCTGGGGTCGTACACCTCGCAGTTGTTGAGCACCCTCCCAGACACGTTGTTGCCCAGGCTCCCCCCGCACACGTAGATCAACCCATTGGCCTCCACCATGCCGTGGCTGCAACGTGGCATCAGCATGCTTGGCTTATTCTGCCAGCTCTCAGTACGTGTGTCGTAGCACTCAAAGAGGCTTAGGGCGGAGTTCCCTGGGGAGGGGCGAGTGCGGGGAAGAGAGTCATGTGACCAGAAAGGCTGTGAAGTCTACACTCCAGAGTGTCAGAAAATACACATCCTGTGGTATATCACACCTCAAGGGTGTTAAAGCGTGCTCCTCATCTGATGGTGCAAAAAAAAAAAAACTACACACTCTGGAATAGGAAAAGTGCTTTAGGGTCTGGCTCGTCCTGAGTGCGCAGGATTCGTACCCACTTCCGATCCCCCGGAGGTATAGATCTTCCCTGTGGATGCGCAGGCAGCCAGGCTGTCCCGGGGGTTGGGGGGGCCCAGCTTGGAGTACCAGCTGTCCTTCACCACGTTGTAGCAGTCCATCCTCTTAATGGGGAACAGCTGAGAGCCGCCCAGGATGTAGACCACGTTGTCCCAGAAGACAGAGGCGGCATCTCTCCGCTTCTCGAAGGGGCACCGGATGTCTGTCCAACTGTACTCCTGCAACCCCATGCAGATGTCCATCAGCATCAAGCATCTCACTCCAACTCTGTCCATCAACAGACCCACTGAGCAAAAAACAGAGCTGATCTTTACAAAATAAATATTATGTCATCAATTGAATATTGGATTCATTTGGCATATTCAGAATGCCAGACTGAGTATGTCTTTAGGTTCGGAGCAAGTTTAGACAGCTTTCTTCTGTGTAGGTCCACAGAGCCTGAGGATCTTCGGGTTACTTTACTGTTGCCAAAGATCATCTATATCTGGAACTCTGGGTGAACCTAGATCTCATCTTAGGAAAACTCCCTAAGTAACCTAGATGTGAGGGAGAGGAGAACCTAGCAGACCCCAAGCTCTTATGGATCCGCTGCTGGTTCAGGACTTGACCAGATCTGCTTGGGGAAAGCAGCACTCCTTACTTTGGGGTTGAAGTAGCGACAAGACTGTGGCTGCGAGCCGCCAAACAGGGCGATGCGATAGTCGTGCTTCTTGCGGCGAGGCCGGCTGCTCTCCCCAAGCTCTTCTCGATCTTCTGGAGACAGGAGATGGTAGCGCATCCCACCTGATCTCCAAAAAAGTCCGGTAGCACAGATTAACACAGCCATTAGGATTACTCTCAAGCTTAAATGCCCTACTACCATTCTGTCAATGATATTTTAATGAACCTTTTAATAGGCCAATCCAAAAATCATTAAGCTACGATGACAAAGCATAGATGATGTTCTCACACAAAGCCTAAATGTATCTATCAGAATAACAGGGAGTAATATAATAAGGAATCTCCCAGCATCCTGCAACACTTACCGATGACCATCTTTAGGCACTCTGGATTGTCCTGGATCAGGGGCTCAGCCTGTACCGTCTTGCTGAGGAAGTTCTTCGACACGAGAGGGAAGCGTACTTTGGACAGGATGTCCACGATATGCTGCTGCCTGTTTGGCTCGTCGTATTTCAGCCACCTCACCGCCGCGTCGTATATCTGCACAAGCCCACATTGCGACATTAAAGCACATTTAGTATGTAAACAAACAAAAATGTGGGTGGGCTCATTATCACTGTCAATCATAGACTGGGTCAGCTCATTCGCTTTTGGTTATTTCATCGTCTCTCCTTTGGTTGAGCCAGTGACTGACATTGTACGAAAATCTCACCCACCACAGCTTTTAAAACCTCATTCCCCCTCATCATACTGATTAGTTGTATGGAAGGTGTTTCCACCTTCACACTCTAGGTCAGGGACATTCAAATCATGGTCCTCAAGGTCCGAGCCCTGCTGATTCTCCAGCCTTCCTTTACCTGTGAGCCAGGTGTGAAGACTCTACGGCCAATCAGAAATCAGTAATTGTAAAACTCACTACCTGGGAGAACTGAAAACAAGGCCTGTATTTGGACTCAGTGTTCATAACTGAAGAAACCCTGGTCTAAGTCAATGTTTCCACAACCCGGTCCTTGGGGACCCATAGACAGTCCATGTTTTTGCTCCATCCCAGCTCCCTGTAGCAAAAACGTGGACTGTCTGTGTGCGTGCCCGAAGACCGGATTGGGAAATACTGCTCTTGGTAAATTAAGTGGAGTAGCTGGTAGCACAGTGGTTAAGGACATTTACCTGTAATTCAGGGGGTCTATCACAGACATTCTTGGAAAGAACCTTCTGTTATAAGAGAGGTTCCACACTCAACTTGCTCCACTGAAGTACGCAGCCATACAAAGGGGTCAGTCAGCCAACAAACGCATGAACGGCTCTCACCTGGTCCTCGGCACGGACGGTCAGCGTGTCCTGATGCAGGAGGTGAGTGACCCTCTTCACGTCCAGCTGCAGGAACTCGTCCATCTTGTAGACCTCTGTGAAGTGCTGGTGGATGAAGTCGTCGGCTGCGACTTTCAGATCGGGGCAGTCCAGGCACTCGGCGAGAACGCTGATGCCTGCAGGAATAACCGCCGCTCTGTGACCTACATAGCAAACCTCCGGCTACAGATAAACGCAGAGCATCTTTAGTCAAGTCAACTGCACTTTATTGTCATACCACCCACATACAAGTATACAGAGGCACGAAATAATGTCCCCCTCAGCATCACAGTGCACCATACAAACAGCAATAGAGGAGGGGTTTACAGTATTTTTTACAGTGCAAAGCAAGGGGGGTTGAACACAAGAATCTATATACCTAAACCCAGACATGGATAGTTCAGGTTCAGGAAGTAAAAATCCAGGTCAAGATTTTGTTTCAACCAACCAGTTCAGTATAAAGAGTCACAGTCACAGAGTAACTCAACTGGTTGGCTGAAACAAATTCTTGACCTGGATTTTTACTTCCTGGACCTGAACTATCCACCTCTGCGTAAACCTTTTCAACTCTATAAAAAATACACAACTTTCACGCTGTATCAATTGCAAACGAGACCAGGGTGCGAGAGGCTTTACCCAAACAGTTAGACGCATCCACCTGCTCCTTGAGGAACTCCACGCACATCTTCTTCACGGGTTCGATCTGGTACTGATTAGCGGCATCCAGCAAAGACTGGACGTTGTTGCTGTTGACAGAAATCCTGAGAAACGGGAATATTTCACCGCATAACTGTCAACGAAAATAGTGGTTCTCAACCTTTTTTGCACCACGACCCAATTTTTTCCCTGCCAGCTCAGTCGCAACCCTCTATCTAATATAGGTTCAAATTAATGCTATGATCAAGCATACAGTGCACTCTGCAATTTACAGCAATCAATGCTTATCGCACAAATCTGATTGGATGCACCAGTGAATTTTAAATTACGCATCTGTGGTTTGGCTACTTGGATTGGTTGAGTGTTCACTAGCTTTGTTCTAAGCATTTGCAGACTCGAGACTCGTTTATATAGGTTAATTCTAGGATTGGGACTGGGAAATCTGATCGTGGATCAGCATAGGAGCTTGCTGGTTTTTTTTTTCTTTGAAAATGTAGGCTGAGCCAGTCCCTGGAGCAACTTGGGCGTTAAGGGCCTTGCATTCAGTCAACCATGAGATTAGAACTAACGACCCTCTGTTCACAAGCACGTGCTGAGCCACACACCGCCCACCCCAATAAAATCCAACAAAAAAGCATTAGACCACTAATCTGGACTACAGCAGCAGTGCTTGACAGGACGTCCACCCCCCTGTTATTGCTCCCCAAGGCTTTAGCAAACTCTAACAGCTCCTAGCTGGTCCGGCCAAATGCCCCGGTCTTACCGGGCTGTGTAGATGAACTCCACAAGGAGCTCGATGATTTCCGGCTCCACGTTCTTCAGCTGCACCTCATATGACGTGGACTCCAGCATGTTGGCTGTTTGCACACGGCAAACACGCACGCATCAGTAACTGCATGTGCAGATGTTTTAATAACATCCTTCAGCTTAGCGGTACAGTTTGTCTTCGCCCACTCATTTTTTTGGAAAGTCATTCACTGGCAGACAGTGTCAATCAGTAATCAAACGCACTGAGGACGTCCATAATTACTAACGCATTAACAGTCAGGAAGCAAATAAAGAGTTGAAACCTGTAATTTAAGCACTTTAAGTTACCAACCAAAATTTTACTTAATCGGAATGGTAATTTTGAGCATCAGAAAATGACGGTGGACGTGAGCTTGGGAAACTTACTGGTGAACATCAGGTTGAAGAAATGACTTGCAGCTGCAAGGACGACTCGGTGCACTGGGATGTGCTTCCCCTGGACAACGAGGATGACGTCGCAGAGGGTCCTCTGTGCGCCAGAGTCAAAGACCACAAGCACACATTCCATTAGATAAGATTAAATTCAACTTCACTGCAATGAGGTTTAGCATGTAAGCGGAGAGTGCAAATAGTAGAGTAAGGTGCAATAGACAGTGGGTGCAAATAGCACGTTAAAGTGCAATAGACAGTAAGGTGCAATAAGGCGGTGCGTGTATGTATATATATATATACACACACACACACACTTTACATATATATGTGTATATATGCACATCCATATACATCTGCTTTATGTATATGGATATATGTACATATATAAATGTGTGTATGCACAAATACACACACACATATATTCATATATATATACATACACACACACACACACACTTTACACATATATGTGTATATATGCACATCCATATACATCTGTTTTATGTATATGGATATATGTACATATATAAATGTGTGTATGCACAAATACACACACACACACACATATATATACATATATATATATATACATACACAAACACACACTTTACATATATATGTGTATATATGCACATCCATATACATCTGTTTTATGTATATGGATATATGTACATATATAAATGTGTGTATGCACAAATACACACACACACACACACACACATATATATACATATATATATATACATACACACACACACACACTTTACATATATATGTGTATATATGCACATCCATATACATCTGCTTTATGTATATGGATATATGTACATATATAAATGTGTGTATGCACAAATACACACACACACACACACACACATATATATACA